ATAGTCCTTGGTTTTAGTCCTAGGTCCATGATCCACCTTGAGTTGGTTTTTGTGTATGGAGTGAGGTGTGGGTCTTGCTTGAGTCTTTTGCAGATATATGAAGCCAGCTTTGATCACCACTGATTCATTCTTACTAAGCTGAGTTAAGTGGCTTACTGTGGCACAGCTGCATGGGCGTGCTTTGCAACGTCAAGACCAGGTTGTCAGTCCTGTGGAGGGGACAGTTTCAGCGAGCTTATGGCTGTGATGCAGGGTTGGTGTACAAGAGCAAGGGCCGCCTGGTGATCTTACCTCTACTAACTCCACACAGTCTCCTCCTGTACAATTCACTGCCTCTGAAAACCCACTGGAGGGTCAGCTATGGACCGGTTCTGACCTGACGACACACAATAACAACTAACTCCACAAGGTAGAACTAGCCCCATCATCCACAGCACAAAATCAGTTCCCATGAGCTCAGACATGTCCCCTACACTCCCACACCTCTTTCTACTCATTCCAACACCAGTCTTACTGCTCTACTGGTCCAAAGTCCATTACAATAGCCCACAGATCGCACAGAACCATAGTGATGTTGTTGTGTACCATCAAGTTGAAACCAACCCATAGCTGACACTCCAGCAGGTTTTGAGAGGTAGTTAATCACATGGGAGGAGATTGCCCATCCTTCTCCTACAGAGCAGCCGATGACCTCGAACTGCATTTAGGGAAGTCAAAAGGCTATATTATTCAGGTTGGCAGCAAGATACAATCTGTCAGGATAGCTTCGAAATGTGCTCACAGGCACCAAAGCCTTTAGCCTCGTGACTTTAGTCCAGTGATACAAAGCTCTTGCAGTTGTTAGGTGCTGTCAAGTCAAGTACAACTCTTAGTGACTGTGAACAGCCAGCCTGAACCGTGCCCTCTTCTGGGCCGTTCTCATCATCTCTGACACACCAGAGCCCGTTGCTGAAGTCATGTCAATGGGCGACTTCCTCCTCTTCACTGACCCTCCATTTTTCTAAGCATGATGTCCTTTTCCAAAGAATAGCCTTGCCTAGCCTCATATCCAAATTAGGAAGGATGAAATTTTGTCATCTTTGCTCCCAAAGAGTACCCTGGCTGAACTTTTTCCAAGATACATCTGTTTGTTCTTTGGCAGTCCATGAGATACTCAGTACTCCTCTCCAATGCCACAACTCAAGGACATCAATTCTTCTGTCATCCTTATTCATTGTTCATCTTTCTGAGGTATAGCAGGTGCTTGAGAAGGCAGTGGCCTAACTCAGGCACACCTTAGTCTTCAAACTGACATCGTTGTTCTTCAACATTTTGGCGAGGTCCCTGACAGAGAACTTGGACAGTGTAAGACGTCTCCTGATTTCCTGACTGCTTGGTACCAAGCATTGATCCAAGCAAAATGAAATCACTGACAGAGCTCTTGGTCCTGCCTGTTATAGCTCTGCTCTCCTAGTCCTCCATCAAACCTGGGCACAGGCTCTTAGCTCTGGTTCCCTGCTGCTGCCACTTTCCTGTAGGTCTGTCACAAGAATCTCTGCCCTGAAGGGTGCCCTGCATTCTCTACTGCTTCTTTGCTGGTGGTGAGATTCTCCACATCTGCTGCTAAATCTGTTCAGTTTAGTGACGAGTCTCGCCAGTCTCCTTGTGGATAGGCTAACTCACCCTCTTCAGATATTCTCGCCCATCCACGTGGCAAGGTCAAAGTCAGTGGCTAGGAAAGCCTTTGTGAACAATAAGCCCTTCACACCACAGTTGATTACACCGCATAACTGCCCTCTGAGACATCATCTTCTCTCTCATTTGCCAGCAAGTTGATGCTGGCTCGTGGAAACGTCCAACACAGACTGTTCCGTCTGGTTCCCAGAGGCTGGTTTTTCAGAAGTGTGTCCTCAAGGTTTATCTTCCAAATTACCTGGGCAGACTCAGGCCTTTTAGTGAGCTGCAGGGCATGTGTGCCACCTATGGGATTGTCACGATCGCAGGTTTATTAAACACACATCGCCACCAGCAGTCCTGGCCAAGGAAGAGTATCTGGGACCCCAGAGTCTGAAATGTGCTGATTGTGTCAGCTGTCTGTTACACTTGATGAGGTGAACAACAATCTGAGATACCAGGTCTCTGTTGAATTCTGTTCCCTGTAAAAGTAAACTCTGTGAGGTCTTGGCAACCGAAGCAGAAGACACAGATAGATGGAAGATTGAGCTGGGACTTGATACATAGGAAGACTTTGAAAAGTCTAAAAAGACTACGAATGTAAGAATAAAAATAATTAAAAGGTCATCGAGGTGGTTTTCATCTCTAGATGAGTGTAGAAGTCTGCAAATTTTAAAAAAAAATTAATTCATGATGGAAATTAAACGTTTATTTCTAATAATAAACTAAAGAATATCTCTTTTTGGAAATATCTTAGTACATTAAGTTATTTCTAAGATATACAACTTATTTTTACTAGTTTCATTCACTTCAAGCAAAATTCTCAAATCACTTTAACAGAATTAATTATGAAAGTGTTGTATAACAAATTGTAAATATTTTTAAGTATAAAACTTTATGTATTGTCATGTAATTATTTACTCCTTTCTCAAGAAATTGCACTGTCCCGTATATGTTTAGGTTATATTTTATTCTGACTTAAAATTTCATGTAATAAGTAAATCTTCTTTGTAAATTAAAAATTTTAAAAGGGGTGGGAAGTAGCTAAGAATAGTGGTGAACCTACATTGGGTGTTTCTTATGTGGCAAATAAGGTTCTAAGGTTCGTGATTGGGTTTATAAGTGTAATCTTCACCAAAAAATTCGATAGAGTAGGAACTCTTAGCAGCAGATAGGAATGTGCAGAATTCAAGGCTATGCTAAGTGTGGAGGGCCTGGCCTGGAAGAGTGAGCACATCTGCGGGGCGGGGAGGCCTCAGGTCCTCAGACCTCAGCACGGGAGGGCCCGGGACAAGCCACAGGCTGCCTCACTCCATGTGGGTAATGTCCTTCCTTTCTCCTCACAGCTGCCATCCTCATCGCGAGGTCGTCACCGCCTTGGTTTATAGTAGACAAGCCTTTTCTATTTATCATCCGACATAATCCTACAGGTAAGTGAAAAACTCCACTTCCGATTTGACTACTTGTTAGAATCCAGGAAGAAGAAAGCTCTGGTGGCCTAGAAGCTGCCCCGCAATCCCAGAGGCACATGGTTCGAATCCACCAGATGCTCTGCTGCAGAAGGAGGGACAGTTTCCTCCTGTACCAGTCAGATTCGATTTGACGGTACACACACAAAATACAATTATAAAATTTAAAAAAGAATCCAGGAAGATACGTGGCAGCTGGAATTCTAGTCAGCAGTACTGTTTCCTTGCCCTCTTCCCAGTCCTTCTGGGAACTCTCAACACTGAATGGTAAGATCACTCCTCTTCTGCTGTTGTTGGGAACACACAGCGAAACATGCACCTAGTCAGCCGTTTGTCCACGTCCAGCTCAGTGACACTGATCACAGTGTTTGGGTTCCATTCTCACCCTCGTTCATTAGCTCCTGGGGTTCCTCTTTCCCCTAAGTAAGCTGTTGCTATATGGGGTCAAAGTGTTGATCCTATTAGGTTGTGTTTGTTGACGTTGTGTACCATAGAGTCAGAGCCAGCCCATAGCTAACCCGCTGGTGGGTTTTCAGAGGCAGCTGATCACACGGAGGGAGACTGCCCATCCTTCTCCTGTGGAGCAGATGGTGGACTCGAACTGTGTGCCTCTGGAATTGCGGCACAGCTTCTTACTGGGCCAAATGCTCAAGGCAGACATTTTATTAACTAAGCTAGATTATTCGTGGTTTTAAGACATCAGGGCATATTGCTGATAACTACTCATCGTGAAGATGTTTAACGGATTATCATGGACTCTGGGACACAGGGGCAGGCATTTGGGGTTAGGGTTTTTGTTGTTAAACTGTGGAGTCACAGCAGTTGTCTGGGGTGCTGTCCTCCGTGTTCTCCTCAATGCAGTGATTCAGGTCTCAGAGAAGCCACACACATGGTCAAGCTTTGTAAATCCATTCTGTCGTTCTGGCCTGGCAAATGTTCAGCAGATCAATTCTGACTCAACGGTATACAATATCAACACTCTTTCTTTTAAAAACAAAACAAGGCGAGCTCTGGTGGCCTAGTGGCAAGAAGCTGCACTGCAATCCTAGAAGTACGTGGTTTGAATCCACCAGACGCTCTACTGGAAAAGGAGGAAAAATCTCCTCCTGTACCGGTCAGATCTGATTTGACGGTACACACACACAAAATAATAAAAATAAATTTAAAAAAAAAATTAAAAACCCAACCAGTCTATTTAGTTAAGCATGGAACTCTGATGTCCAAGAGGTAAGAAGCTGTGCTGCAATACTGAAGGCACTTGGTTCGAATCCACCAGCTGCCTTATGGTCAGTCTCCTCCCATGTAATTGACTGCTTCTGAAAATCCACCAGAGTCAGTAGTGGCAGATGTCCATCATGCCCGGCGGGGCTACCTGCCCAGGTGGGGGGGGATGTGCAGAGACCTCACTCAGGTTGCAGATGTCTGGCTGGAGCCTTGTGGGGCTAGCCTCCAGGTTGGCACGTGCCAACAACAATAATCTTTACGGAAGTAGATTGCCTTGTCTTCTGCAGAGTACCCTGGCCAACCAAAACCACTGATCTTTCCGGTAGCAGCTGAACACTTTAACCACTGCACCACAGAGGCTCCTAATCCACATGTGGTAATGGTGGTGGTTGTTATTGTTGGGTTCCATCAAGTCAGAACCGACCCACAGACGACCCCTCATTGGGTTTTCTGGGGCAGTAAAGCACACAGGAGTTTGTCCATCCTACCACAGAAGCAGCTGGTGAATTCAAACCACGTGCCTTGGGGATTGTGGTGCAGATTCTTACCACAACACTACCAGAGCTCCCTCCACATGGATTTGGTGGACAGCACAGATGGATATAGACTGTTTCTATCCTAACAGAGAGCTCTGTGTGACCCCACTGCTTGAGATCAAAGTCTAAAACAAGGCTTGGAGACCTCTCGTTGAAGGCTTCAAATGATTGTACTCCAAAGGATTAGGCTCCTGGAGTTACGTGCTGTCTCTTTTGAATTCTGCAGGTGCTATCTTATTCATAGGACAGATCAACAAACCCTGAAGAGGGTAGGAAAGCAACCGTGGAAAGCAAAGACTACTTTGCTGTGAAGACAAGACTTGTTTCAACATCTTTCATCGTCTGGTTAAATGTTTTCCAACACGGCTTCCTTTGTCAAGCCTCGTTCTTAGGAACAAAGACTTTGACACAAGCACCGTCTGGATGTGTTTCAGAGGGAAGATGGGCAGGGTGGCTGGAACACTGTACTGAGGCATGAATAAAGGCTTCAAACGTCTCGAAGATTCTTTAAACTACTGAGTGGTGACATAGGTTAACAACCCTCTTGAATCTTTGCAAATACCCAGTTCAGGATTTTTGTGTTTTATGTGTGGCTTTTCAGAAGAAATTTAATCCATGTAACAGAAGTTGTTGTTTGTTTGGTTTTGGTTTTTTTTTTCTTTAATGGAAAAATACATGATTTGCCTTTTAATTATCTTCCCCCCACCACCACCACCACCATCCAAGGTCTTGACCCTAAGCACTATTTGAGGGGTAGAAATTGCTAAACCGCTCACCTCTTTGTGTGTTTTGTTGTCATGGTTGTTTTATATATGCGTATATTCACTAAATAAAGTTTAAATACTAATGTCTTGCTAGACAAGGTTTGCTGTTGTGCAGTGTGCCTGTCATTACTAGTCTGTACTCTTCAGATTTGCATTTTTGTATTTTGTACAAAGTAAAAATAAAGCATTATAAGTAGTAAAGAAAAAAGGCTATTTTCTATTTGGAAATACAGCAAAAGGAAATGTCTTTTTAACAACCATTCTTCTAACTCTTTGCACTTAGTCAAGGTCAAGTTTTTGCAGTTAAGGTCAAAGCGAAGCCCCTGGGCTTCAGCTCCCTCTTTTCGTCTGATGTCGGTGATCAGCTCTTCCTTTACCACTTCAGCCATCACCTCAAAGGAATAACGCTCTTGATGCCAGGTCTAGTCTAGTCTCCACATTTCATACCTCAAGAGATGGCCGAATCGTTGATGTTGCAACATGTGAAGAAGCAGTTGCTGGGTCCTCCTACACTGCAAATCCAAGTGAATGGTTCATTTTTGGTAACAGACTACAATGAAATTACAAAGGTGGGGTTTTTTTTTTCTTGGAGGATAAAAGTTCCTCAGAAGGAATTGTCAGGAACCCAGCCTTACCACTTTTTGATATGCCAGATTGCCCTGACCGAAATCCAAATGCTTGGAAATATTTGCTATCAAAACCCAAAAAGTGTTTTGTAGTTGTTCTTCTTCAGCCCTACTAAAAATGTGCTCATCGCACCTTATGCATTTGTGTGTGAGTATGCGCACCTGTATACACTTCATACTGGGAAAGGCGTCATGCTGGAGAAGGTACAGGGTCAGAGAAAAGTGAGGTAGCCCCTCAACAAGCTGGACTGACCTACTGACTACCACAATGCACTTGAGAACAAAGCAGAGATCATGAGGATAGAGCAGTGTCCGGAGCTGTTGTTCATAGGGTCCTTGTGAATTATAGTTGACTTGATGGCACCTAACAACAATGTGTATATGCCTTTTAAAGAAGTTTGTTTATTTATATATAGAGAAAGAGAGTGTGAGTGAGTGAGTGTTTGGCTGTTTGCTGCATCTTGATGGCAGTCCTGCTGGGCATGTAAAGGAAGTTTTGGAGGTCATATTTGATGTGTGTTACTGTTCTTTTTCCCCCCAAGACTGGGTATCCTTGAGCCTTTGCCTAGGGTGGAGGTCTGCTCAAAGGTGTGGCTTTAAAAGCCTGCAGGGGGAGGGGATGGGACTGCAGGCCGGAGCCTGGAGCCTCCACTGTGGAAGTTTGGCTTTTGCCGTATCTGGATGGCAGTCCTGATGGGCACTAAGGGAAGTTTCTGAGGTCATGTTTGATATGTGTTACTGCTCTTTTACTTCCCCAACAGCTGATGTCCTTGAGCCTGTGACTCTTGGGCCAAATTTATTAATTTTTGAATGAATATTCCTTAAATGATACAGCAATCTTTTGTCTCTTTGCTGAACTGCACAACTTGGTGTTACTGTGATGCTGCTCACTGTTCCATGTTGTTGTTGTGTGCCGTCGAGTGGCTTGTGACTCATAGCGACCCTATGTACAACAGCCCTAAACTCCGCTCTGTCCTGCGCTGTCCTTCCACCCTCCCAAGCATGATGTCCCTCTCCAAGGACCGTTCCCTCCTTAAAACTTGTTCAAAGTATGTTAGACGGAGCCTCAGAATCCTTGCCTCCAAGGAGCCACCCGGTTTAACCCTTTCCAGGATGAATGTTTGTTTTCCTAGTAGTCCATGGTACTCTCAATACTCTTCTCCAGCACCACAGCTCAGAGGCATCAATTCTCCTGTCCTTGGTCATTGTCCAACTCTCTGATGCATAACAAGTGATTGCAAAGACCATAGCCTATATCAGATACACCTTAGTCTCCAGAGAGACACCATTGCCCTTCAGTACTTTGGAGAGGTCCCTAACAGCAGACTTTGCCATGGCAATACGCCTTTTAATTTCCTGGCTACTGGTGCCAAGAGTGTTGACTGTGGAGCCAAGCAAACTAAAGCTGTGAACAATCTCAATCCCTTCACCATCCATCCTGATGCTGCCAGTTGGCCCAGTGGTGAGAATCTTTGTCTTCTTGACATTAAGCTTCAATTGGAGGCTACAGTCCTTGACCCTCTGCAGCAGGTGCTTCAGGTCCTCCTCAGTTTCAGCAAGCAGGGTTGTGTCATCTGCATAATGCAGATTGTTGATAGATCTTCCACCAATCTTGACCCCACATTTCTCCTCATAGAGCCCAGCCTCCTGGATGATCTGCTCTGCATACAGGTTGAAAAGGTATGGAGATAGGATGCATCCCTGGTGTACGCCCTTCCCAATTTTGAACCATGCAGTGTTCCCTTGCTCTATTCTGACGACTGCCTCTTGGTCCAAGTATAGGTTTCGCATTAGCACGATCAAGTGTTCTGGGATTCCCATTCTTCTCAGAGTCAGCCACAGTTTGTTATGATCCACACAGTCAAATGCCTTTGCACACAGATATACATTCCTCTGGTATTCCCTGCTTTCAGCATAAATCAATATGGAAGCGCATCCAAACATTGTCCATAATGGGTAGCCATTATGGTATTTGACAAGACTATGGAAGTGTTTTGTTTGTTTGTTTGTTTGTTTGTTTTTAACCTAAAAACATACTTCCATAGTCTTGTCAAATACCATAATGGCTACCCATTATGGACAATGTTTGGATGAGCTTCCAGATTGATTCATGCTGGGAAGCAGGAGTGGTACTTGCTTCCTAAACTAGATGCCTCTGGAAACTACAAACTCTCTAAACTCTACAAAACTATAAATGTACAGAAATTACGTTAGTTACAGAACAAAGTTCTGCACAGAAATGATGTAATAGAACAGAATTCAGGTCTTTTGTGCAAAACTTACTCTCAGTCGTATTTTGACTTGACACTTAACCACTTCTAAGTGAAACTAGTGCTGTTATATCTGGAGGAACACTCTTCGACTTTGTACAACACTCTTTGTCAATGCGCAGTATGAAATAACCTGGGTTTGCTGTGATCTTGAACCTTGTACCACTGGGGTATCAAATACCAGAATGGCTTCCCAATGTAGACAGTGTTTGATGGAGCTCACACTTGTAAAATGGGTTTGGAAGCAGGAGTGGCATCCACTTCATAAACCACATGCCTCTGGAAACTCTATGAACTTGGAGAAATACCGATAGTTATGGAAAGGCATTAAGTCTTTTGTTCATAGAGTTGCTATGAGTCACACTCGAAGGCAACCAACAACATCAAAGAGGAAGATAAATCTAGAATAAATTATGCTCGATGGCATAAGTTAGTAAAAAATGGACAATTATGTTGTAAGATCATGAATATAAAAAGTTAAAGGACACACAATCAATCCTGGAGGTTAACAGGGATGAGAAGGAAAGGAGGGGGAGCAAAATTGCACAGTTAAGTTGGGTAAAGGCAAATGCAGTAAAATAATCTTTAGTATCAATCAAATTTAGTGTCTCACAGAAAAAGTTACTCTTAAGGAGCTCTGGTGGCCCAGTGGCAAGAAGCTGCACTGCAGTCCCAGAGGCACATGGTTTGATTCCACCAGATGCTCTGCTGGAGAAGGAAGGGCAATCTCCTCCTGTACCAGTCAGATCTGATTTGATGGTACATACACAAAAAAAATTAATTAAAAAAAAAAATTTAAGAAATTACTCTCATCCCACCTCAGTAATACAGTCTATCCAGGAATAACAATAATACTCAAGGGCAAGAAGCTGTAGAGAAAGACATTTTCGTAATTGTTCTTGCTAGTGTGTTTTCCAGTTTTGAATCTCTTCCACATCTAAGAGCTCAGTGTCCGTTTACAAGATTTCTTTAAAAGGCAGTTCAAAATAGCAAAGGAAAAGTTTAAATAAATGGTCACTACTTACCCAATGAGAAACCAAAGAAGAATCTATGTTTTAAAGTGAGGTGTTGGTGAGGAATACTGATTATTCCATGGACTGCCACAGAACAAATCTGTCTTAAAGCAAGTGCAACCATGGGCTCCTTAAAAGGATGGGAAAATTTCATACTTTGGAAATATTTGCAAGTGGGGCCAGTCCTTGGAAAAGGGTATCATCCTGGGAACAGTGGAGGATCAGAGAAAGAGAAGACGACCCTCAATGAGGTGGACTGACACAGTGACCGATAGGATGGGCTTGAGTCTATTAGCAATGGTCAGGATGGCACGGGACACAGGACAAGGCCAAGTTCAGATCTGTTCACAGGGTTGATCCGAGTTGTTGACTTGATGGCACAAAACAACTTACCCATTTCTCCTTCCACTTTTATCCTCACTTTCTTGTAAAATATTCATATTGAAGTGTATCAAACATGATGTAAAGCTTACAATTTTTTTAAATGTACACTACCTACCTACCACATAGGTTTTTTTAAAAGAGAATAATAGCATTACCTTAAGAATAATCTAAAAAATAAAATGAGACCTCCAAGTAACAGAAGCATGA